CAGTACAGAAGGCGCTTGATCGGTACGAAAAGGTGACAGGGGCCAAGATTAACCGCGACAAGTCGACCGGCTTGCGGCTAGGCGCCTGGAAGGGGGTCGATCTTCCAGGGCCCTTCGGTTGGACGGACGGTCCTGTCCGCATTCTCGGAGTGTGGTTTGGACCCGACCTCCAGCTGGAGAAGAATTGGTCTGAAGTACGAGCAAAGGTCTACGCCGCCGGTCAGACTTGGCGTCGACGGAGGTTGTCCGTGAAGGGCAAGGCGGAGGTGTGTGCTACATACATTTTCCCTCTTGTCCTTTATCGATTGTCCGTACTTCCTCTCTGTGACGACCACAGGATACCGCTCGAGCGCGCGCTAACCTCCATTCTATGGAGGAGACGCGCGAATCGGGTCGACAGAGAAGTCTTGCACAACGTCCGTGTCATGGGGGGCTGGGAATGCCACACTTGCTGAGCCACAAACGTGCCTCGAGGTTGGCTTTCCTACGCCGCGCTTTGACAGGTGGAGATCCGATTATTGAGGGGATTGTGAGGGCCGCCTTCCCTCGCCTTACCATCAGTCCCCCAAGCTCGCGGGTGGATCGCCGTCGTAAACCCCGGGTTCAATCGGTTTTCTTTCGCGAGTGTCGATCGGCCTTGTTGGCTGTCCCTTGGTCCAGTGACCTTTCTCGGCCTAGAAAGGACTTCTATCGTTTGCTAGTGGAGGGGGTCGCGAAGGATCCCCTACGTGAGGATCTCGACATGTCGGATGATGAGTTTCGCTCTCACTGGTCTTGGGCGCCAGCGGCGGATTACCTCAGTAACCCTGAGTTTTCGCTTACCTGGCGACTGGCTCGGAATCGGCTGCCTCTCAACGACATGGCCTTCATATGGGGCTTGGCGGACTTGCCAGACTGCGATCGGTGTGGCCTTGGTCTAGAGGAAACGGCTTCGCACGCCTTCTTCCATTGCCCCGTGTCCGCCCCTTATGGGACCATGTCGGCGAGCTGACGGCTCGTCTCGCTCCCGAAAAAGCTTGTGCCCATGGATCGCGCATACGCGTGTGACAATGTGTCGCCCCGTATTCCGGGGTGAAACGGATGGTGTTTCTCATGCTGCTAACCACGGCCCGAATGGTGATATGGACGACGCGAGAGGAGGAAGTCTTGCGGGGTAACCGTCTTTCTCATCAGGATCTGATCAGATTCTTTGAGCATCAGCTCAAGACGAAGATTAGAACTGATAGAAAACGCTTGCATTCGACAGTCTTCAGCGAAAGGTGGGTGACTGAGGCGAGCTTGGTTCGTGTGAACGGGGCTAGCCTTGATTTTCTGTTTTAGGTCAAGCCTACGTTACATCGGGGTGGCTTCCTGTGGTGCCCACCCCTTGGTTAGGTTAGACAAGCCTTGGTGTACCTAGTTAATGCGAGTAAGTGTTGTTCCCGGCCTGCCCCCGGCCACATCTTTAGTTATGATCCAGCCTGAGATTCCCAACCTCCACAGTTTGTTTTTGATCCCCACTTTCTATCTCGACTGGGTCAGCTTTATACTTCCCCATGCCCGTATGATTTTTTATCACCTTTCCCACTCCCTTAGCGAGAGAGCTGCTTGATTTTGTTCCAATGGGCAGAATACAGTGGTCTCCCTGCATTTTGAGGGTTGGAAGGGCCCTACTAACATCAGTTAACGTTTTATTTTCATTTATGTTAATATTTTAGTTTGTTATTGGGTTCACATCCCACCCCCATCTCATTTTTTCATCTTAGAATTTTTGTACATATGTGTTAGGATCATTATGACATGGGGCGCGTTTTGTAGGTCTCCCTAGAGTGGATGTGGTATTATGGTGCAAGGAGGATTGATTGATGACGGACGAGTTCTTATGGTGAATGAGTAAATTGTAATGTCTGAATGGGTCGTGAATCAAATTAGCTAGGTATAAGATAGTTAGTGAAGACCAGCCTTACCTCCTCCCCCTTTTCGGCCTTGTGCCACAATTTTGTATTTTTTACAAAATAAATCCCGGTTTATACCAACGGCTTTCCTTATTTCATTCTACAATTCACTCTCGTGTAGTCATGTGTGACGTCATGAGATGCGTAGCGATTTTCGCTTCTAGCGTCTTATATGCGCGTGTTTATCGTTGCTTAGTGATCCACTATGTAAACAATGACAGACTATCATCACTGTCGTGTCCGTATATTGTTTAATATGTTTGTGATTTATATCTTTGATAATGGCTTAAGTAAGCCGAAAGCTTAGATTATATTAAAAATAATGGATAAATATTGTGAATTTCTTTCTTCGTTTAATGATAATGTTATCAAACTTATCAGAAGATACGAAAAAATTTTACATAAAATAAATAGACAACACTTGTCTATATTATTTAATGAAACGTGTATAAATATATATATATATATATATATATATATAAAATTTCAAATTAAAAAAATAATAATGTTTTATTTTATGAAAGTATTTATTTATTTATATATATATATTTGATATTTCAATCTTTCATCAGAAATAACTGTTTGTTACAAATAAATTAAAATTACTGTTTGTTAGCAAGTAGCGTCCTTCGCGAGACGCGAACGTCACGTGATATGGAACGTCACTGTTCAGATATTCCTAACTTAAATCTGTCATAAATATTTTAAATGTTGTTTAAAAACCTTTTTTTAACTATATCTAAAAAAAATTGCTTAACTATTGAAATATTTATAAAGATTTAAAACACCCAAGTCCCTATTCAACCCTAGTTTATGTGTATTTAATTTTAAAATCCAATATGTTTCTTTTTTTCTGCGTGTATATGTCGAACTGAAATCGGAATCTATCAATAAGCATTTGCAGTTTTCTAATGAGTGTCCTGATTGAGTAAAGTGTTTGGCTATAGGGGAATATGTGTGTGTGTGTGTGTGTGTGTGTGTGTGTGTGTGTGTGTGTGTGTGTGTGTGTGTGTGTGCTTGTGTAGTCTTCGCATCAGACAAGAGATTGAAAATGATTGGCGGGGTGAGAATAAGCACCAAAAATTCCGATTTTCCAATTCTCTACTAAACACCAAATATAATAACCACGAGTATCTACGCTCTGAGCAATTTATCAAGCCTTGTCATTAAGTTCAACATTTTTCTTTCTTTTTGTGTGTCATGTCCTTTCTGGACGTAGGTGATCATGGCTCTCCACCTCCCTTTTTTCCCTTCCAGCTCTCAACAAGTTCCTTCCCTCTGCTTCCTCCCCCAGACCACGTTCTTTAAATCCACTTGCTTAAGTCTCTAGGTATGTCGTGCGTTGTTTTTCCTTGTCTCTTTTTCCCTCTATTCGACCCGTGATTGTCAGTTTCTCTCCGGGCACTCCTTCCTCATTACATGTCTGTGGTGGTAAAGCAATGACTCAACTGATAGTAGCAGAGGGTAACCGACAAAATAGTGTCACACGTTCAACCTTCTCACGAGCAAAAAATAAAACCCCGTGCTCAGAAACAAAAACGCGTCTGCTTTATATAGCCGAGGACCGACCATGATTTGCATGCGAATTACGAGACAACGAAATTCTGCGTTAACTGTCGGAGACCGCCTGGCATAAAACATGGGCGCCGCCATTTTGGTTCTTTTATTCGTTGAGCAACCGGAGTTTGCACGACGCACAGACTCGCGGACGTTTCCGAAGTAGGCCATTTTCACAATTTTCCCCACAGAAAATTCAGCTGCCCCTTCCTGATACACATCGTTGATCAAACGCTCGCTTCATGATATTCTTACCCTGCTTCAATAGAACCACATCTCTATCGGCTTGAGTCTTTTTGAGTAAATCGGCCAACATTCGCTGCCGTGAAGAATGACAGATGTCATGTAGCAGTTCAGTATTCGTTTCTTTGTTACCAAAAATATCATCCTGTTTCGCAGTATTCTTCCCAACATTTAGAATCTGTTCTTGGCCATCCCAATATGTCTACGGATCTCAGTGTCGCACTTACCGTCTTCTGTCAAGACGCTTCCCAGGTATTTAAACATCCGCGTCTTCTTCATTCTTTTGTTCCCGACCTTCAGATCGCCTCCTCTTACTGACAACCGTACACTTCGTCTTCTTGTCGTTTATGCTTAGTACCTTCTTCACACTCTCTGTCGCTACCTTCTGAAGGAGATTTTCTACTTTCTTTTCCGTGTTTGTTATCAGTAGTGTGTCATCTGCGTATGTCACGTTGTTAAGATTGTGGCCGCGAATGCTAAATCCCGGTAGGGTTTCCAATTCTTTCAGGATTGCCTCGCTGTATAAGTTGATCAGGTCGGGTGAGAAGACCCATCCTTGCCTTAAGCCCCTTTCTATTTTCTTGTACTCACTGAACTCGTTACCATTTACTTTTCTCAAACTGTAAGAGGTAAGAGAAATATGAAAATAAAAATGCACAAGAACCAATTTTCCATGCAGCCGCAGAGCGAGGAAGCTATTTTGGGTGGTGCCAAAATTCCCAAAATTGAGAATAATCAATGAAATTAAACCCATGAAATAGTGAGTATCTTGCCAATGACATCGTAGCTGAAATCTTCATTATATTGATTAATTACGTCATTCTTTTTTGTGGTTGAGAGATCTTCCTGCTTTAACAATGATAGCCTCGTTGCCAGGTGAAGAAGGATTAGGATGGTATCAGATCCTCATGAAGGATTACTAGAAATTTACAAATATTACATGCTGTCTTCTAACGTTAATGATGTCCACACTCCTATATACGCAATGTTGTCAAAGAATGCACTTTTTAAATATTTAAGTCGAATCCATTACATTCAGTTACGTGCTAATGTTTTATTAAGCCTCTTCTTCCCCCTCCAACTATGGATGGGCAATGAGGAAACAACTCTGTATTCAAAACCTACGGAGAATCGTTGGAGTGTAGTGCAGCTGTTTTCTGTATTCGGCCTTTCGGAAAGGCTTCACCACTATGTTCATATTATATATGCTACTGTCTGGCTGTCGGTTCCTAGGAATTATACTGCTTCACCTCATACGTCTAATACGGAAGTGGCACAAATAGATAGATAGATAGATAGATAGATAGATAGATAGATAGATAATCTGAAATTTCATTCTATAAATACAATAGTTAAAAAGTTATTCTCTCTCTCTACACAACCTCCCCGCGCACACACACAAAACATACATACACACACACATATATATATATATATATATATATATATATATATATATATATATATGTTCTTACATTGATGTGCATTTTAAGAATTAAGACATTTAAATTTCTCGAGATTTTTATTACAGTAAACGATATTTCGTATCTTTAGTAAGTACACGAATTAAAATGGAAAATAATTTTTTGGAAAATAAAGTTCCATTATATATATATATATATATATATATATATATATATATATATATATATATATATATATATATATATATCGCGATAATTTGAAATACTCTTTTCGACGCAAAACTGTTGAATTTTCAATGGTTTACAGATTAGCAGGTATTTAAGCCGATTGGCCTTCGTGGGAGGTTGCTCAATATCAAATACAAATTGTTAATATGAAAACGAATTAATATGAAAACTTTTTTTCCCACTTAACTCATGTTTACTTCGGGCTTTGATGTGTATACAGGTATAAACACTCCTTGGAACAGACATGAACTGCTGACATTTCTCGATTCTTTTGTACTTTTATTGTGGTATTTGTATACTATGTCTTTTCGCTTGATAGGTGTTGACGAATGCTGAGAAATATCAGCAGTTTAACTCTGTACGACTAGTGGTTATACTTATATATTAATTGAATATCTATCTATCTATCTATCTATCTATCTATCTATCTATCTATCTATCTATCTCTCTCTATATATATATATATATTTATTTATATATATATATATATTTATCTATATATATATATATATATATATATATATATATATATATATGAAATGAGAACGAATCCAATTCAATTCCGACGTTCGTAACATTCAGTTTAAAAGAGAGCTTAAACAATAATATAGCAATATTCTTTATTTTAGGATAATACATCAAAAACACGTGAAAAACGCTACAAAAATGCGATCATGTTTCGATGTGTATTAACACACCTCATAAATACTAGTCAGTAGGCAATTTATGGAAATTTAAAGCCACACATAACCTCTTTCCACGAGAAAAAGTAGAAATGAAAAAGAGTAAGAAAGAAAGGCACAGGATATAATCTCATTTTCCGATAAAATGAAGAAGGTGGAGATAGCAGCAGAATTTGTTTTTATTTATAATAAAATCCGCCAATCAAAAATGGCCTACGATAAATTCAAAGTACGAAGCGCAAGTTAAGAAACAATCTTAAATAAGTTACCATGACCCACAGATTTAAAATAGCAGACAAACTCTAGACGTTATATTCGATACAAATGTAAATTTGCAACAATGTTAACATAAGACACATGACATTTTCAATAAGAGAGGCAACGTAATTTAACAAGCTACTTGAAAAACCGCATACCTCGTGAGTTAAAAGGAGAATTTCACAATTTTATAATAGGTAAAAAATATGTTTTTTTATTAAATAAGTGTAAAGTTTAAAAATAAAATGATCTAATAAAAGTATTAAAAACATATTGATCTAACAAAATTATTTAAATATTTAGACCTATAAAATTATTAAAAATATATAGCTCAAACGTAATAGAATACAACTGGTAACTAAAGGATCTTATATAGGGTGTTAATGATACATATCAATGGAAAATGTCAAAATATCAGCCAAAAGTTTATATCTCTAGACTAAATATTAGCATCAATACTAGAAGAAGAATGTACAAATTATATTACGTCGAAATTGATCTTACTGACAGAAAACCAATCTTTATATGATGTAACAAGGTTTTTTCTATAATATAAGATGAAGCAATTGTCAAATTTCAAAGTTTAGTAAGATTGTACAGTTAAAGGTATGAGATGTTTACAATTAAATGTTAATTCAAGTCTTATATTTAATAGATCATTCCTGTTCAAAAACCTGATAATCTGTATTTTCACATGTAAACACAGAAAACAAGGTTCATATAAGGATCTACATGTCCTTGCCAGTTTTAAAAAATTCCATTTAACTTTAGGAGTTTTCATTTCATCTCTCAACTTACAAAATATTTTGAAAGTGTTATTTTTTAAGTATTAATAATAGAATACGATATGTGTTGATACCAAGGTGTTGATAATCTGCATTCCGTGATCAAAATCAACCAATCAACAAATTTATTACCAATATATCGACAACATATTAAAGCGCATATAGCAAACATTAAATAGTATTTTACATTTCTACAATTTTCTGGTCAGCTCCCTCATATTGAAAAAATTGATTTACAAAAATTCCATAACTACAATGGCTAAATTTAAAATATTAATTTAACTATAAGAAACTGCGTTCGTGAGTTTTTGAAAAATCACTGTCAAAATTGGATGTTGATTTTACTATAGGTTTGTCTTTGTAATTTAACACTGAAGATGATCTTGGAAATGATCGAAAGTAATTGAGGGCGCCATCTTTGATGAATTTCATCTTTTCTTCAAGAAACTGATTAGACAAATGAAAAGGAGCAGAATATAAAAATAAGGAGACGTATATTTCTATATTATTCAAATAAGTTTGAATGAAGATATACCGCCCATATATATATATATATATATATATATATATATATATATATAGATAGATAGATAGATAGATAGATAGATAGAGATAAAGATAGAGAGAAACAGAGTCAGGAATAGACTGAGAAAGAAAACCGATGAAATTTTTCTCTTAGACATTTTCTTCTTCTTTTTTCTACTACTACTACTACTACTCCATATTATTATTATTATTATTATTATTATTATTATTATTATTATTATTATTATTATTTATCCCATTTTAATTAGTTTCCTAAAAGACATTCCTATTTTGATATTGACGATTATTCCTATCTTTTTCCCTCTCATTTTTCTTATTCAATTATTATTATTATTATTATTATTACTATTATTATTATTATTATTATTATTATTTACTTGCTTTCTCTATGTTAAACGTGTCTTTTAAGCGAATTCTACAGTTAAGCGAAACACTACACTTATCCGTTGTATCTTGCCATACAAGAATTCTACATCAAGTCCCCTTAGCAATCAAATTTTCAAATTGCAGAAATTGTATTTCTAAGCACGTTTCTTGTCTCAGACAACCAGAAGACAATCTTGTATGAAGGAATATTTTATCATTTAAAACTTTATAAATAATAATAATAATAATAATAATAATAATGTTTTTTCTGTAATTACGGAAATATCATTATTATTATTATTATTATTATTGTTGTTGTTGTTGTTGTTGTTGCTGTTGTTGTTGTTGTCCCTGAAACAATTTTCTGTTTATTATTTGCGATCAAATATAAAGATTTTTAATAAGAAATATCTTTCTCTGGTATTTCTAAAAGATTATTCGGTCGGTGTTTGTTTATTCTCAAGGGAAATGTGTCCAAGATTCAATTTGTCCACAATTTTCTTTGAGGGATTTTGAAGAGATGAAATTATGAGAATGAACATTTTTAGATGCCAGGAATTTCCAACTACTTAAAAGTAATTTAAGTCTTGAAATTTGGCATCAATATATATATTTTTTTATTATTATTTCAAAGTAATTTTTATATTTCATCGTAAAATTCTCTCACCCCTCCGTTTATTTGATATTCTATATTTTTTCTTCGATTCTGATCGAGAGGTTTGTGATAATTGCACGTTACTTTGGGTTCACAGTAAGTACTGAGATCTTAAATGATGCCTAATATGACATTAGACGCGAATAGCATGATTCACTAAATATTTAAATTACTATGAGCTACCAAAGCTAGTCTTGCAGATTTTCACCAGGGGTGTAGATTCTTACATTGTTAAATAGTATTAAATTTAAAGCGAAGAAATACAAGAAAATTAAACACAAATGATAATGGTTTTAAGGATTTTCGATCTGTAGTTATTGTAGTGACTAATGTCATGTAAATATAATTAAAAAAAAAAAATTAATTTAACGACTTCACTCTGAATTTAGGGGATTTAATAATAATAATAAAAATCATATTGGCTAGCGATTATTTTTTCTGAACACACTGGTCCGCCAGGGTGGATAGCCACACCTTGTTACGGACATCTGCTTAACCAACGACGTTCATCTTTTTGTTTTGTTTTTTTGTTTTTTTTTTACAACTATGCTGGACTAGATAATTTCTTTCCTTTTTACTCTGTGAGATCCACCCTGTACAAAGCGCTGGAACAACTCGAGGTAGAGATTACTCAGTAATATGCACAGTATATACGGATATGTGAGGAAGACAAGTTTTAATCATAGACTTAAACCAAGTCAAAATTAAAATTAAGAGTAATTAACGTAGATGTTATTCTGAACAGTAAGTTTCATACTAATCTTTTGTTGCTGATATGTGTCTGGAACGCCACATATGATTTTTTTTTAACAATCACATGCTTCACACGATATGGATGGTGGGAGGTGAACCTGAAGTATGCAAAAATACTTTTATATTTATTTCTTTAATGATAAGTTCTATTTCAACACCATTTATATTAAATTTTTATCGGTTGCTAATTTCTAAAGATGAACGTATTATCAAGTAGTCTTTATTTTGAAAAAAAGCTGAATTACTTATGGCTTTAGAGATTTGGGCTCCCTCGCCTTGGTTGGCAACTAGTCTAGAAGAAGAATAATCAACCTTATAGGGAAACCAATCCACTATGTTCAAAGATTCGATAGAAATCCATACATATTTTTTACAGTGAGTTCCACTCTGTACAAGCACTGTGTGTCACTGATGTATAGGGTTGCAGATTAATAGGCAAAATTTCTCTGGAAGATAGCGTTTAACCATTGAGTTGAGCTAGATTAAGACTGTAATTATTGAGAAAACCTCCATTTGAGAGTCGATTACAGAAAACAGTGGTTCGCGGGAAGAAGCTGTTCGAGTGGAACTTTCTTCTCACCAACAGAATACGGAGGTAAGTGGGATGTTTCGCAACAATGCGCGTAGAATGACGATTC